TCAAATCTACTTTTCCCACAAGCACTGGATCACCTCAATCAGATAAGCACGTGGTGGTAGTTGGCGCCGCAGGTTGGCTCGCTTTCAGTCCTTCAAGACTCAATATAACAGTTGAGGATGCAATTATATTCAATTCTTGGCATTCAATTACCTTAACACGATCTTCACTTCCGAATCCGTGTGTTCACAAGCCAGATATGAGTTTTGACACGGGATTTAAGCAATTCAATCCCGCCAATACATCAGGGCTATTCCAAGTAAAGTACACTGTGGAGAATTCCAATTCATAGTGGTTCTTCTGCTCTCAAAGTCGGAACACATCTCACTTTCACGAAGGCATGGTTTTCGCATTGAATCCTGGCGCTGACTTTGCAGCCTTTTGGGGGACTATGATAACATCTGCTTCCGCCCAGCCCCTCCTCGTATCAACACGGCTTACTCGCCACTTCCCCTGTAGGTTCTACTGGAATGTCCACGACCCTGGCATTCCCCATTTCTAGTATCTCGATGTCTGGATGTCAAGCTGCAACGCAGGCAACATCAGGTTCGGCAGAATTGCTTTTTTTGGTTGAAGTTGACGGAGATGTTACCTCTCCAGATGTCAGGTCGTGAAGTTGTCACTTGTGCTAATTGGGATAGTGCCACGAGCTTGGAGCGATGCGATTGGGATGTATATTTCGAGAAACTCAGTGCTCCTATGAGGGAATCAGATGCTATCATCAAGAGACTCGGAACAGCAAGTCTACTGTTCAAAGCCTTGATAGACAACGAGCTACCCACGCATCAACTACCCATAGAAGTGGCATGGTGTAGTGAAGTTCCATTTGAGAAAATGGTTTCTTTGCAACCTGTAGTTGCTAAGTCACAAGCCTGGCGCTGTAATAACCTCATCCTCGAACATCCTCGCTTGTACACTCAATAGCTGCCCTACTGAAGTTTGAACGAACTTCTTCACCTCCTCAAATGCAACTTCCGAATACGATACTTGAAATTCTTGCTTGTTTTCTCTTGTTTCTAACGCCAATTTATACATCGACATTCCGCTTTTCCGTCACGGTTCACTCCAAGGGGAGGACACCAGAGACTTCGTCGCTTTTATCGGGCAACTAATGGCTTATATCAAGGCAATCGATAGGTGGGATCGCGGCTGGAAGTCGAGGTCACTTTCAGGTAGTGTTGGATACAATTAAGCTGATTGGAAGATTATGTTGGGCAATTATATCGCGAATCTCAGTACTAAATCCAGGTGCGCAATTGCCGGCTCTTTTCCTCATCGCATAATGAGCCTCGATATTTCGCATATGGCGGTGACCTACAAGAACCCGGCTATGAAGCCGATGTGCAGTATATTCCATACGTGGGCTAATTTTTTGGATTATGGGGGCCCCGTGATCAGTATGTCTAGATACGTTCCAGAGCGTGAGGTAAAATATTACGCCAGGCTCGTTGGAGCCGTCCCAACAGTCTGTCGACTGCGCAAAAATACCTCGTTTCGCAGCGGGTGCTCATACCGTGAATACATTCATATTAAATACATTAAACAGTATAGAAATTATGATTGATTCGATACATCTCTAAGAGGAGTCGGTCTATTCGTATTCTGTGCTCTTCTTCTCGCCCGGCGATATCTGTTGTGTTTCCGTTCTCCCTTAATATCCAGTCCCATAACCCTTCGCACTGCGGCATGTTTCGGCGGAACAGGTGGATGTTTCTTTGCTGCCCACGGTATTATATCTACAAAGAACTGTCTCTGCTGCGGATCGAATATATCAATCCTAATGCATTTCTCTTCCGGCTCTCCTTCCAGTTTTGCATAGATGTATAGATAGTGACGCAGTTGCATAATATAATACGTTACTCGGATTTCGAGGTTGGCGGATCGTCGTCGTTTTGGTGACTGTGACTGTGAATGAATGATTGTTAGAATGATGCAGATTTTGAAGAAGGTGCTATGCAAAGAAGTGGAGCGAAATATTCAGATTGAATGATTTGAATACTAACCTCGTCCACTAAACACCACATCGTCTTGCGAGTCGCATCGTACCAATGATCATCGGTTGTGCGAAACACATATTTGAAAATCGTCTCTGCCGCACAGCGATAGAGTGCATGTTTCATATCGATTCCAATCTTTCGTTGAAAGATAAGATTTGATAGCATCGACGCCAAAAATGTTGCCTGTTTCCAGTCTGTATCGTTCAATCCCATTTCTCGCCTTAACTCCCGACGGCTAGGCCATGACATGACTGAAGGAGCGCAAGCGTCTGGCGCAGCACAGCACAAAGCTGATTATCTCGTTGAATGTTATCTCTATTGCAGAATTGTAGTGCAGAGTTCAGCGACGAAGAAGGCAGAATGAAATGAGTATCTTAGTGGGATGTGATGTAATACGACACGACAAATGGAATGGGTAATGTTAACTGTCTGAAGCTGTTGCTAGATAGACGTCAGAGTAAAGAGAATATCGTTGAGAGTAGAATAAAGTTGATACTATCAGCGTATCAAGTTCTCTTCGTTATAGTTGCCGTGCGCGGGTATGCTTGTGTCGTATGGGACGTTGGACTTTGTTGTTTGGACTTTGTTGTTGTGACAACAGAAAATAGGTGGGTTTAAGAGAAAGAATGTGGTTTGATTGACCTTTAGCACTACGATTAAGCTAAGCTAGAGCCCATGTGACTTGATAAATTCGCTCCTTCTACATTTCTACAACAACCTCGAAATTTACAAATTCCGAACCCTAACCCACTGCAGATCATTTTCTCAAAAGGGTTTAGTGAAAGCTCTTGTTGGTGAGTTTATACGGTATAGAACTCCCAATGTGTGGTTATGTGTATCAGCAATCTTCTCTTGTGAATTGTGAAAAGAAAACGTTTTGTTTTCGCGGCAGCGAATGCGGGGAAAGGAGCATAGAAAGGTGGAGATAATGAAGTAGGAGAATTGGCTTACCCACTGCCTAATAAGTGGGAAGGGGAAATAAATCTAAGCATGTACCCACCTAGCACCGGTATTCTCCTGACTTTTACCCCAGGTTTTGTACGGAGTAGTGGCGAAAAAAGAAGACTTGGCACGGCTTTACTTTTACTTCTCTAGGTTCACATTTCCTTCAGGAGTCCGAAGGTGCCAAAATGCAAAAACTCCAAAAATGATGCAAGAGCACATACAACAGTGGGGATTCGCTGGTGGTCACCCACCCAACTACTAATCCACCGATCTGAAGCTTGTGTATGGCAGAGCGGACGGGATGCCCAATTCTCTTCAGTCTATGGTCGTATGTATCAGAGACTAGCTTTGTAGGGATTATATCAGATGAAAATCAAGCGGTGGTTGAGTGGAAGAGTGCGGAGATGGGACACTCCGCTGGACTTCTTTTGAGAATAACATCCGGGAGAGATGCTGTAGTTGCTTTGCTGCTATCTTTCTCTCCGGGTGAGTAGCAGTAGTGGTGGTATTCTAACCGACTTGACTTGATCGTTGTGTTCTGTCTTGGAAACCTGGTTAGGTTCTGCACTTTCCTCGCGTACTCATAAATGGGTGTTACCTGACTCCCGGGTGTGCTTTTTTTAACTCGGGTGTTTTCCGTTTAGAGCAGAAAAACCTCGCTTGTGCCATGCACTGAAGCTATTCATCAGACTGAGCCGCATGTAATATACAGTACAGCTTTTCTTTGTACTCGTAGACAAAGCTATTCACTAGGCCGATGAGCTGGGCAGTTATCTCACTTCACAGTCAACTATTCACTTTTCACTTTCTACACCTCCATATCGCTACCTACCTATATACAAGTAGGAAATCCTCCAGCATTAGTTCATCTGGCCCCATCTAATCTCAATCTAGCACCAACCTATCCTTTACGCCCTAATTTGTACCCCTATGTTTCCCTAACTTACAACCATCATCCTCCGCGTTTCATAGTCCGACATAAACCCATATGTATCCGTCTCAACTCCCAGAACGGAATCAGATACTTGAGTGAAATTGATGTATTCGTCAATCTAAGTGTCTTCCTAACGTTGAAATCACATCCCCCAATATACAAAGATTGAATAATCATGTTATTCGAGAGAATATCGAACACTAATAACACTATCGCATTGCTTATCATGATCCGAAGAAACAAGATCAGACTAGTATTGGCCATGTGATTTCTATCAACATGCGTCGGACCAACGAGGCCATTCTCATTAAATATTGAGGTAAGGTCAGAATCACTAGACAGTTAGGGAGACTGTCTCGTTCCTCTGTGGATTTCTGGAGTGTACCGACATACTAAAGAAGTACCGAATGTTGCAAACCAGGAGATTCATTGGACTACAAGGTCTCTTGCACTCTTTGTACGGTTGTGTAATGCGGCGGTATTATACCATACCCCGCATCCGGCAAAAGGATCTCTGACTCCTTGTTGAAGGAGGTCATCGCTATGACTCGTTGGAAAGAACTTATTGTGGGAAGAAAGCCTCGAAACAGCATCTGCCCAGAGCAGAGCACTTGCTCGGTTTCTGTGTATTGAACTGGAACTTGTATGTGGGAGTTTTGAAATAACAAGTCGATGTCATAATTCTTTGGCATTCATATTGCAGGCTACAATGGAAACGGTGAAGATACTTGAAATTGCTAGACTATCTTCATAACGGACAGGCTATTGGTGTGCCTGTCCATTTAAATGAGGGCAAGAAGCTCTTGACTACTGATCATATCACAGTCACATGCCGAATCAACTAGATATTTATTGTTAGGCAGCGATCACTACAGATGCGACGTTTAGACCTTGACAACAAGATGAAGTGATAACCTGGGTGAAGCAATGTCTGGTGCGTAACAATTACTAACCGATGTTTTTCCCCACATAACCTTCGAACACCTGCTCCCAAAATCAACCATGGACAAGCTGTTGGTTGTTAATCTTTGGGTCATGTCGTCCCCCACCTTCTTCTTAAGTGATGTGGGTCTTTTGAGATGTTGGGTCTATACAACGAAATATGTTTGCTGGTCACCATCAAATATCCCTCGTGGCGCAATTGGCTAGCGCGTTCGACTGTTACTTGAAGCAATTCAAGCTTGCAGATAAATCGAGAGGTTCGTGGTTCGACCCCACGCGAGGGAGACAAGCTTTTTGCTTTTGTGGCTCTTGGTCATCTCAAGGTAGAAAGAAGCACGTCCATTGACCAGGGATGCCATAAGGATTACTATATCTATAGATAGGGCTGCTATCTCTTTCGTGCAGGATCGTGGTTTAGAATGGTTAAATCCGCAAGGAAATAGAGGGAAAGGATGTGCATGCTGAAAGCCTTAGTGGCAATCGCGGTGTTGACTGCGACGGCTTTCTTTTTTGGGCTACGTCGAAATCGGCCATGTGTGTGGATGGACTTAGGTATTCTGCCTCCATGCTCGAATAGATATGCGGCCTGCCTTTTGCCTCCTACACTGTTCTATTCACAACCAAAACGTACGTTCAGGAATCGGAATCGGAATCGGAATCCTCCCTACGCTCTGCTGTCCGATTTCCCTGTCCCTGTGTCTGTGCCTGTCCGTGATGTTGTTGTTGTGAGCTGCCCGCGATCGTCTCCTCTCCTAAAACTTTGCTTGCCGCCATGAATCTATCGAGGGAATCGTTAGATACTTTGTTCCTTCGGGATTTCGGTTCGGATTCGGAAAGGAAACAATACGACTTACAGCCCTCCGTGAAAAGCACCCAAACCTCGTATAGACTCAGCTTGTATACTAGTATTTCGTAGAAGGTTCTCAAGATCACCAAGATTGGCGGAGAGCTGTGCGAGTTGTGCGTGTAGATGGGACTAGAATTGTGAGTCAGGATTGCTGATTGCGGCGATGTAGTTTGGAAATAAAAAGAGATTTTTGAGTGACATACCAGTTGTCGAGGCTTGGTGCTACTACTTGGTGCCGTGGAGAGACGAGGTGCGTTGCCGCTAGGAAGTCGGGATGTCATGGTTGTAGGAATTGAGTGTGAAAGATTGGAAATTGGCCTATGAAGATAGGAAGCCCGAAGTGGAATGAAAAGCTTAAAGGTAGAGATGTCTGAGCGTGTGGTTGTGTAGGAAACGGCCAGTTGAAGTGTGAAAGTCGAGAGATAGAGGGGTAGATATTGAAGGCAGGAGGAGATATGATCTAACTTGCTACAACACTCTTTGTGCGATAATTCTAGACGATATGCAGCTTATACTTCTGAAAAATGACAAGAATACTGCCGTTGCTTTCCTTAGCCTTCAAATTGTGTGAAACGTTTACTCCGTGTGGCATTATGTTGCTGTGTTGTAAATCGCGTTTGTTGCTATTAATTAGTAAATAATAAGAGTGTCGCGCACGGGCCATGCTTGACTTGATATACAAACATCTTTTCATATCTTCTCCTGCATTTCTATGGCAGTGTGAAGATGAACATTCAATTGATCGATCTTTCCCTCCTCCCTGGGATTTCTACCATTTTTTTTTTAAATACAGATTCATCATAGGGGGTCAACTCGTTGATATTGATTGGATAGCTTCGCTATCTTGCGGATTACTATTTAACACAATGCTTCGCCATCTAGCTAATGGATTGCTATATCCAATGGCTAACCTGGGACTCTCGTGTGTATGGTATTGATCTTCCACTTATCAAGGCAATAGACTTTCAACATACTGCCTGGCAATGCCACCAAGCCCATGAAAACCGGTAGTCCAATCTTCCTTAATGAGAAGAGGATTGGGATTTGCTACACCCTCCGGCTTGTTGTAACCAAAAATGTCCGTGACTTTGGAAGTGCCAAATATCACTTGAAACGATGGGATCTCTCGCACGTACCAGTGCACCATGGAGTCTACCTGGCGAAATGATGATAAAACTCCGAGCATGTTACACCTCTTCTGGAACAGAAATACCCGGCAATCTGGTCCAAGCAAGGGCATGGGAGAAGCTTTGTCTGCAAGCTCCCATCCATTTTCCATAAAGACAACCTTGATATCATCTTTAACGGTGGCATTGGCCATAGAAAAGAGGCCGAAGTAGGTAGACATCCTCATGGATCGCGGAATAAGGAGGCGTATCGCATCGTAATCAACGTTGAAGTATATGCGGGCTTGTGACGGCTGCGCGGCGAAGCAAAGCTTATAAAATCTTAGTCTCATCTCGGGATTCTTTGCAGATTTGCAGGCCGATAGGAAGGGTGGCATTGCTCATGAAATTTTCTCCTCTAAGAGAGATGCCGATCAATCGAGGTCCAGGAAGTGATGACCTCCATATTTTGCGACGAAGCTCGAGCGGAAGTCTTGGGAAGCGATAGAAGGCGGGTTCGGTCGTTCCTGATGCCATTTTGTTGTTCATAGTATGGTAAATCTTTTGGCGAGTGAGTCAAGCTGAGGGTAAAGTTGATTCTTTTGTTGCGACGACCTTCAGAAAGAGTCAGGGTGCGGGGCATACTAGAAGGAACCTAAAGATTCGGTTTGAGTAAATGGTGAATCACCAGGTACTGTACGTAAGATTGCATCAATTCACTTGTTTTTGGTATCAGTCGACCAATCAGAGCTACAGTAAGCGTGTCTTTTGTCAATGCAGCTATCACTCAATATTTCTAGTCTAAATATCGAGGATCCTGCCATCTTATGCGTGGCTATATACCTGTTCTCCGTCCTCCACCACATTTTCTTCCTCATCACTACTAGATCTAGGTCTATCAAAATACCAACACCACACGTCACTCTTCTTTCCTTCATCTATTCTTCTCGAATAATACTACAAATATTGCAAAATCATTAGTTTTTCACCAGTTCTATGATACAATAATTCCCCTAGAAACCTACCTTTTCAAGAAGCTCTCCTTTTCTCGCTCCCACTTTCATTGCTGTTCTCTCGCTTGCTTTATTCCTCGGATCGACTTTCGCGACGAGGTGGGGAATGTGAGATCTTTCTGTTTTGAGGATTGTATTAGTATATCCTCTTCATCTTTTCCTCTTGCATTTTTCTTCTCTTTCGCCTTGGTGGTATTTTCTTTAGATTTGAATGTTATCCCCGATATGGAAACGGATGGTAGTCAAATGTCAAGAGGAAGAACCGAAAACATACCTTCAATCCCCCAAAATATCCTCAAAAACTGTTATCCCCCATGTAGCATATCCATTACCCCAGTAGTTAGGGTTTATACAATAGCCTAATTCAAGACCCTGGGGTGAATGGCGGTTAGTTCCGGCCATACCTACACATTTAGACGGTTCTAGAAGTACTTAGTTAGTATAGGAATGAAAAGGACGGAAAGAAAGGACATGAAAGGATAGGAGAAAACAAAGTACGGAGTAGCGGCGATACGAAGTAGGAAAAAAAGAACGGCTACTCAACGAGCTCAAAAGCGTTGAAGGCCATCTTTTCAGGAGCCCATAGTCAGAGTACAAGTCCAAACTTCTTTCCCCAGTCTAACTATGGAACTGGCGTGCGCACGCCACCATTTCAAAGGTTGTAGACGCTCCCTCATATTATCCGGACTTGAGAATGCGCTTTTTCTCTATACGCAATCTAGAGTTTCATCTACCCTTAAGTAGTGTATTGATAAGTCACAAAGTACACCACCCAAAAACTTCCAGGTGACTTTCCTGTTCATTCTTCACGCAGCGTGCAAACCATCTCAATCACCTCAGGGCCATCATTTTCTCTTCCCAAATCTTCTTTCTTCCTTCACTGCGCGGCCCCCGACTTAACTCGTTCAACTTCCACAAAAAATGAACCCCCTAGATACTGAAATGAAAATACTCACTACCCTCTCCATCCCCCTCCGCCTTCAAAATAATAGCAAATTTATCGCTTCCGTCCGTCTCTCCCTCCGGATTATCTTCTGTCTTTGGTAAGATAAATTTCATGAGTTCTAGCGCTTCTTCTTTTGTTTCCTGAGTGCCTTTAGTTCTTGGGAGTTTGTTAGTTTGGGATATTGTAGAAAAACAGACGAGTGTGAGCAGGGAGATAAAAGAATAATAGGAGGAAGAGGAATTGGAAGAGAGGGAGGAGAAGAGTGGAAAAGGAGAAAAAGGAACTAAGGAATTAAAGGAAAGTAAAAGAAAGCAATTTAAGGACATACGACCAAACAACCCCTCGTTCCTCTTTCCAAAATTCCCAGAAATCATCGAGATGTTCTTTTACGGTCAACCTTACTAATTCTAAAGATTGATTCTTTTTGGGCATTTGAGTTTGGGCTTGGGATTGGGTTTTGATTTCATTAGAGTCCATGATGTAGTTTTATCAAAAAATCTTGAATGTTTATAAATCAATGGATGGGGATGTGAGTGTGGGGTTGCAGAGGATCGTTGAAGAGAAGTTGGATTGGTGATCAGGTTAGGTTATATTGTGAGAATGGACAGGAGGGAATTAGGAAGTTTATGTTATCTTTAGAATTAGGACGATAACTACTAATATGTAGATATTTTAAGGACCAACTGTTGGAAGTTCGGTGAGTGCTCGTAGAGATATGCATGTGATAGTTGTTCGTTGTATGACACATACGGCGAGAGGCAACGTAAGCATGTAAGGTTTTGGGGCCGGCAAACAAGTGAAGGGGAAACTTTTGCAATGCACAACACAGGGTAAACATCGCGGAGTTCGTCATTTTGTTACTTTGTTATCTGTGTTCAATCATACCCAATAATACTATACATATTTCGAGATCCGTATCCTTGGCCCGTATTCCTATTACGCTATCCACATCTTACAATTCCTCATTCATATAAGGAATCAATCTCTCCATCAAGTCCTCCACCTCCAATTCTTCTCCAGCCCACAATCCTCCACCCGGAGTCTTAGGTGGGATCAAAACCGAGCTCAAAACATGAATGACACCATCCTTAGCAATGCCATCTTGAACACTAACGCTACTAAATCCATTAATCTTGATAGTAATGAAACCACCAAATCTTCCAATGTCGATGCTGAGACTCTTGTTTTCCAACAAGGTAGGGAGATCAACGTGGAAGTGTCCCTTGGGGATATCCGCAGCATCGATCTCATCAACAAGGTTGATGCTCTTATCATCAGACTTAGCCTTGTAGAAAGCATCAGAGTAGAGAGTTTGGTTTGCAACGACGTGGTATTTGAGAAGGGCTTTTAGATATTTTTCGCCGTATTTGCTG